AAATGCTCGCAACGACATTTTGATTGGCACGACATTTTACTGGGACGTGATTGGCTGCGACGGTATAACCCGCGAATTGACTGGACGACGGGTAGCTGCACTATGCGAAGTAGCGGTAACTGGGTCGAATTACCTCGCTGGCAGTCGCCCGAGTCTTCAACGGTCCACGTCAACGCCATCACGATGAGACGGGCTGTCTCCGCTGGAGCTGACGTGTACGCAGTGGATATAGCATTGGTAGGAGAAGCAGAGCAGCCGAGTGATTTTCAGAAACTGCTGGCAGCGGTACCGCCCGAACTACAGGAGCTGTTGGAACATTTACCAGAGGGACTGCCACCTCAGCGGGCACATGACCACCGAATAGAATTAGAACCGGGGGCACAGCCAACTGTACAGCGACAATTCCGACTGACACAGCCAGAGTTCAACGAACTGAGGAAGCGGTTAGATTACCTGTTAGAGAAACAAATGATCCTACCGATCTCGTCACTGTTCGCCGCACCGATACTGTTCACACCGAAGAAAGACGGAGGGTTTCGCATGTGTATCGACTACAGAGCACTGAACAGGGTAACGGTCAAGTCGTGATACCCCATTCCCCGCGCCGACGAACTGATAGATCAACTGCGAACAGCACGGGTCTTTTCGAAAATTGACTTACGCGGAGGTTACCACCAGATTAGGGTTGAACCATCAGACTGCGCCAAGACTGCGTTTAGAACTAGGTACGGGTCCTTCGAGTACACTGTGATGCCTTACGGGCTGACCAACGTACCGGCGCCGTTTCAGATGACCATGAACGAGGCGTTTAGGCCAGTCTTAGATGAATGTGTGATAGTTTACCTCGACGACATCCTAGTCTACAGTCGCGACAAGCAGCAGCACTTAGCAGACCTGGAAGCAGTTTTTTAAAATTTAGACGAACACAGGCTACTGACCAAGGGTTCCAAGTGCGAGTTCTTTCAGGACAGGCTAGAGTTTCTGGGGCACGTTATTTCGGAGGATGGGGCACGTTATTTCGCCATTGGAGCGGTACTCCTACAGGATTTCGGCAACGGTTTACAGCCCATCGCATACGAGTCACGAGAACTGCATCTGCCCGAGAAGAATTACCCGATACACGACCGCGAAATGCTCGCGATCGTGCATGCGTTCAAAGTGTGGCGCTGTTACTTGACCGGCGCAGACGTGACAGTACGGACAGACCACAGATCACTACAGTACCTCCGCGCACAGCCCCACCTCAACCCACGATAGATCCGCTGGCTCGATTTTCTCGAGTCAAACTTCCACTACACGGTCACCTACAAAAAAGGGGCATCGAACATCGCCAACGCACTGACCCGCCCCACTGCCCAAATCCACGCCATACTACTCGCCCAGACCAGCCCACTCCTAACAGGACTATTTACCCACGGCTATCAAACCGACCCGTTCTTCACAGGTGGAAATTCGCAGCAGTTCGCAGCAGTAAAGGGGGTTTATTACGTAAAAGCCGGCACCGACCGCATCTGGGTACCGAGCTACACTTTACTAAGGGAGCTGTTACTACAGGAGGCACACGACGGGGCTACCTCAGGACATTTCGGAGTAGAGAAAACATGGCAGCAGCTGCAGCGGTATTACTACTGGCCCGAAATGCTAACCGACGTACAACGACACGTGGCCTCGTGTCCCGCTTGCCAAATCATGAAGTCATCACGGAAGCGGCCGGCAAGACAATTGCAGCCGATACCACCCCCAGAGCATGCTTGGCAGCAGGTGAGGATGGACTTCGTCACGGGGTACCAGCCAGAGAAAGTGGGAACGACGCGATCCTGGTCGTCGTCGATCGGCTGACGAAAATGACACACTTCGCAGCCTGCAAAAAACCAATCACAGCCGAAGAAACAGCCCGCCTCTTCATCTCCACCGTCGTTCGACTGCACGGGATACCAGCATCAATTATCAGCGACCGCGACACGAAATTTACCAGCAACTTCTGGCGGAACCTGTGGCAGCAGTTCGGCACACGACCACAGTTCAGTTCTTCGTACCACTACGAGACCGATGGACAGACAGAACGGACAAACCAGACCATGGAGCAACTCATCCGAGCCACGTGCGACGACCCGACCACCTGGGAACAGCAACTGCCACTCATCGAGTTCGCGTACAATAACTCGCCATCCGCCATGACCCAACAGTCACCATTTTACCTGAACTACGGACAAGACCCCACAGTACCCATGACCCCGAATCCCGACAACCCGGTGCCACGCGCACAACAATTCGCAGAAATTTTACAAGCAGCACGGACCCGAGCAGCAGACGCAATAAAAAAATCGAACATCATCGCTAAGCGTAACGCCGACCGCCATCGCCGACCCGTCACTTACCAGCCCGACGACCTCGTGCTGCTCGACACTCAAAACCTCGGCCTGTCCATCACTCCAAAACTCCGCCCCCGATATTGCGGGCCATTTCGCATCAGCCACATGATCACACCCGTCACCGCCCATCTCCTCCTCCCTGCTGACTGGTACGCCAGCCCGTCATTCCACGTCAGCCTGCTTCGCCCATGCGTGCCATCCACCATCCAACTGCATCGCAACCGCCCCGCCAGCATGACACGACCGCCGACAGAGCCAATCATCACGCCCGAAAAAATACTGAGCCACCGAGTACGTGACCCACGGGGAGCCCGCAGGATCGAATTTCTGATCCGCTGGAAAGACCGCACGCCCACCGAAGACAACTGGGTTCCCCTGGATAGAGTTGAAAATCATCCTGTCCTCACCGAGTATCTGCGCAGCCGAAACTTTCGAGATGTACACGCACTCTCGTAAGGAGGGCCTCCTTGGGGAGGGGGTAGTGTAAGGAAAATTCCTTTTCCTTACTTCGCGCTCTTGCTTTACCGCGTACAATACCATTCCTGCCATCGGCACCCAGCAGTGAAACGTTACCCGCTCACAGCACTCGCCTCGACCACGACTCCCGCCACTGTTCGCGATGCGACCCAACCTAACGGTTCGGTTGGTAACCCGCGCTCCGGACCTCCGCCTCGACAATTCCCAAACCTCAGCACTAGGCCCGTAGCGCATCCCAATTTCCCGCATTACCGTTACCACGCTAGCTTCGCTATATAAATTCGCTCATGCTTTTCGCTCAACTGTATTGTTTTGCTTCGATAGTGCAATTCTCGCTCGCTCACTCAATTGCACTCGTAACAATGGTCAATATTTAGCAAAAACAAAATGCTCTCCAAAATACTTAGCTGCAGGATAAATGATACTAGTATGTCTTGATCAATCCACCTATAAATATCAGTAGCAATGTGGATACTGTGATATCAAACAAATTTAACAGTCGCTATTCTCAGCTAACAAACATAAGTCAGTATAATATGTAGGAGCAATAAGTATGCATTAGTATTGGCACAGGCATTAGAGGATACTGAACTGCGCCCTAGCGGAGGTGGTGGAAGCGAAACTGCCTGACATCAAGGCTGGTGCTCCTGGCATGGAGTCGCCGAAGGCAACCTGGATAACAGCCTGTCCAGGCTAGCCATCTCCCCCACACTCCCCTCTCACCTGATCCGAACCGACCCGCAGCAGCGCGTCGGCAAGTTTCGTCGGGGCTCAGGGGGATGTTCGCCCGAATGAAGAGGGGTGACCAGCGGCAAATGTTTTTCCACAATCCCAGTGCCAGGCCAGCCAGTCCCCCACGGAAAAAAAATGCGGACAGCAGCGATGGAATAATTCCTGAAGCAAGGGCGTCCGTCCGTCCATCCTGTTCGGTTTGAGAAGGACCTGCGCTGCCGGGGAACCCACCACAGCGATGTCATTGTCGTATGGCGGCTGGCGTGGCTGAGGTGTAACATTAGTTACTCGGGCGGCCCTTATTCGCTGGGCTTAGCGAGGTCGCTGCAACCCATCTGCAGGCCAAATCTCTGTCGCATGCCGATTGTGTACACATGTGTTGGATTCAACCATCCTTCACCCATCCAAATCTTATCACCACCCCTTGCAACGTACCCTCACTCTGCTTGTGTTTTTGCTGGCCCGCCTCCATCGTTCCCATCAAAAGTTGCTGCTTCCTCTTCAATCAAACCCAAGTCCACCAATTTCTTTGTAGCCCACCAGAATTTTGCTGACTCGTTCACACAGCAACTCCACTATGTATCATAGATAGCTATTCCATAGCTCCGGTCTTCATACTGAGAGAGCGCAATATCTTACATATCTTCTGTACCAATTACTTGCGAAGCGACGAACAGGGCCCAGTTGCCTGCGCCTCCTCTCGCATCCTCGTTTGACTGACGCGTGCGATGGCGAGCACCAGCACCACGTTCGCTGCGACAATACCACCCTCGTTAGACGCGTTAGACGCTCAAGCCATGCATACTCACTCCGGTAGGTGCGCCAGCGGGGTGGTTGGTTCCTCAGCCACGTGCTGTAGCAGCTGTAGCAGCTGTAGCATACGTAGCATACATAGCGTCCGTACCGTCGACCACGTCAGCAGCGCCCAGATTCCTCACACCAGCGATTTAACAACTGCCACGTCGGCGTCGGCATGCTGCTGCGAGCAACGCTCCGATTCCAGCGGCATGGAGGCACGTAGCCAGGATATCGCAACGCGAACCACGCGAGGACGCTATGATTGGCGAGAACATCGCAGCAGCTACCGCACCGCGCGAATCCCCGTTATTGTCACATGCGGGTGGTTTGCACTGCTACATCTGCTAGCGCTCTTGTCAATATCAAGCCCTCGCGTTGCTCTCGCTAGAACTACCGATGTCGGCGATAATACTGGTCCCGGGGCTAGTGGCGATGCGGTAGGTGACGGTGGAACGGCGAGAAGTGCGGCGCCGGGGAACAGCACGGCGAGCGGCAAGCCAGGCCACGCAAGCATCATGGCTTATCATATGGCGCATATGATCTGTACGTCTCGAGTAACTTACTCTCGGAGCTTTGATTTGACTTATTGACTTCCAGGTTTGGCCGAGTCTACAGTTCCCCATGCATATACGTCGACTTCACTTTGCCCCTTTCCCATCTCCCCCGCTTTCCTCCTGCTTCCGCCCTTCCCATCCGCCCGTTCCTTCCGCCCTCTCCTTGCTATCGCTCCTTCCGCGCCGGCTCATCCCCCCCGCTCCTTCCGCCCCCTCTCCTTCCCCGCCAGCCAATCTTCTCCAGAATCCCAGCTTTGAGTCCCCAACCTTCCCCACGCAACCCCCGCATTGGCGCGCGTGGGGACGAGTTGCCCACATTTGCCCCGCTTCCGCTCCCCCGCCCGCCTCCCTCGCGGAGGCGGCGGAAGCCGCCGCAACCACCGCGCCCTTTCACGGCGCGTGCGCGCTCGAGATTGCGGGTTGCGACGCGGGGAATGCTGGCAAGGGGGGGAGCGGGAAACGCGGGTGCAGCTGGGGGGGAGTGTCGCAGCGCGTTCCTACTCGTCGCGGCACGCGCTACCGACTGACTTTCTTCTTTGCTGCCCGGGCCGCCCGGCAGCGGTCCGTCAACCTGCGCGTGCGGTTCGGGGGGGAGAGGGCGCGGTTCGCGCTGCCGGCGGCGGCCGCGGCGGCCGTGGCGCGCGGAGCGGCGCCGTCGGTGCTGGGGGGATGGAGCATGGGGTCGGTAGATTACGTGGCGGAGAACGCGACGACGGTGGTGAAATTCGTCGTCGCCATGGCGGATAACAGCACCGTGATTGACGGCGTCTCAGTCGTTGCTCTTCCGAAAATAGCGAGTAAGAGGCTACGAATGGGCGGCGGTTCGTGGGGGCGAGGGCGGACGAGGGGGGGCGAGGGGGGATGGGGTGATGGGGGGAGTTGCGGGGTGGGTAGAGGTATTCTGAAGCGTTGAATGATATGAGATGAGATGAGTGTTCCATGCCAGGACAAAGCACAACGCACGAAGCGCGAGGATGGATAAGACTTGGCGAGTCATGTTCCTGAAGCTCAGGCCTTTCCTCTGTCTGTCCCCCCATCCACCCTCCCCCCTTCCACATCCCCTCCCCTCACTGCCCTTCAACCTTCCCTCTCCCCACACCTCCCCTCTCTCTTCCCCCTCCCCCTTCCCCCTACACCCCGACATTCTCCGCTACTCCTGGACCAACAGACCCCCGCCACCCGCGCATCATGCGCTTCACCCTTCCGCCACCCGCCCCCGTTGCCCCTCCGCCCCTGCTCCTCTCCGCCTTCGCCTCCGCCAACTCCGCCAACATCACCCTCACCCCCATCGTCCCCGCGCCTGGCGCAGCGCTCGACGCGCCCAAAGCTCCCCCCAACGCCGCGCTTCCTCCTCCGCCCGCGCGTTCCCCGCATCTCGTCACCACGGGCGCAGCGTTCTTCCCCGCGCCCCAGCAGCTTATCCTTAAAGACCCCTCCGCGGGCCTCTGCGCCTCGCGCTCGTTCCTCACTTCCTTCACCTTCTCCGCCACGCGCGCGCCCTTTCGCGCGTCCGCGGACGAAGGCGGGGGCGCAGGGGGAGCGGGGGGCGCGGGCCCTGCGGAAGGGCTTGAGAAGGCAGCAGGAAAGGGTCCGCGCGCGGGGAAGGTCGCGGGCGGGGGAGGGGCGCTAGGGGGAGTGGGGGGGCGGGGAGGAGCAGGGAGAGTGGCAGGGCCAGGGGGGGGAGGGTTTCACACGCTTATAGGGGGATTCGCGTTTGTTATAACGGGGCAGCCTACAGCAGGAGGGGGAGGGCCTGCGTTAGGGTTTGGGCACGCGTGCGCTCCTGCTGTGCCTGATGGGGAGTTTCTAGCAGGGGAAGGGGGGGATGCAGAGGCAGAGTCCCCGACCACCACCAGCAGCAGCAGCAGCACCGGCAACGCCAGCAGCAACGGCAGCAGCAGCAGTAGCAGCAGTGGGTGGGTGGACAGCAGTGGTACAGACCCGGCGCTGACAGCGTGTCAGCACGGGGTAGTCATCACCTTTGCCAGCTGGCAGGACAATCCCGAGGAGCAGGCAGCAGCAGCAGGCACAGCACTCAAAGCACCCCCAAGAGAGTATGTAGGCGTGCGTGTAGGCAGCACCATGAAGTCTTTACTTGCAGCCAATGCTGCTTCTGTGCTACCTCCACCCGCAAACCCTGCTTCTGCTTCTGCTGCTGGTGATGCTGCTGCTACCGCTCCTCCCGCCGCCACCGCTGCTAGTAGTAGCAATAGGCTCGTGGATGGGTCATCGCACAACGTGTGGGTGGAGCACTGCGCGTCCTCCCACACTCTCTCCGTGAGCTTCACCCGCCCCCGCGCCACAGCGCACCAGTGCCCGCTGGCCTACGAAGCGGGGCAGCAGAGGGAGTGGGAACAACGGCAGGGCCGGCAGGTGCCGCACTCCCGCATACTCACCGTGCAGCTAGACTTATGTGAAGCCTTAGGGGGTTACGACCGCTGGGGCGGGGGCAGCGGAAGCAGGAGCGGGAAGGGGAGCGGGAGCGGGAGCGGGAGTGGGAGTGGTGCGAGGGTGGGGCAGGAGGTGGATGAGGAGCCGGTGTTTGTGGGGTTCAGTGGGAGCGGGCGCGGCGTGGAGTATGTTGTCAGCAAATGGTCCTTTCGAGGTGCGCTGCTGATTGCTGCTTGCTGCTGCTTTTTCTCTCACACACACTCTCACGCTCACATAGTCACCGTCTTGAGACGTCTCATCACTCTGTTTGTGGGGTTCAGTGGGAGCGGGCGTGGCGTGGAGTATGTTGTCAGTATATGGTCCTTTCGAGGTGCGCTGCTGCACGCTGCTGCTTGCTGCACACACACACGCACGCGCACGAACACGCACTCACATGCCACATGCACACTCGCATGTTCTAATGCACCTCAAATCCACCACAAATCCAGTCCTGCTCACTTCCTCTCACTCTCTCTCTACTCTCCTTCTGGTCCCTCTTGTCTGTACCCATCCCTTCCCCTGCAGAGCTGGGTTCGCCACCGGTATTTGACACAGCAGCAGCATCCGTCCCCTGGCAACCAGACTCCTCCCCCACCTCGTCCTCCTCCTCTCTTTCCCCGCTCCTCATTGCCGTCATCGTCGTCTCCTCAGTGGCTGCCCTCGTTGCTGTGCTAGCCGCTTTCGCTCACTTCAGGCGCCACCCATTAGGTACGCCCCTACGCCCTACGCCATACGCCCTACGTCCTACGCCCTACGCCCTATCTCCACACCAACCCCCTTCCCCTTTCTCCTCCTTTCCTCAGTAAACCCCACACCCCGTGCCATCTCCACGTGTTTTGCAGGTCGCCTTTGGGATTTCTGAGTCGACTAAAAATAAGGCCGTTTTTTATATTTCTCAAAAGCGACCCTGCTCCCCTTGCCCTCCCCCCCGCACCACCCCCAGGAGCATCCCGAATATTGGCATACGACGAGCTCATCTCCACTCCCACCCCCTTCCCCTTTCTCCTCCCTGCCACCCGTCTCCCTTCAACCCCCACCCTCAACGCCCCACACCCCACAACCCGCGCCCCTTGCCCCTCACCCCCTGCACCACCCCCAGGAGCATCCCGAATATTGGCATACGACCAACTCATCTCCACTTGTTTTGCCAGTCGTTTTTAGATTTCTCAAAAGCGACCCCGCTCCCCTTGCCCTCCCCCCTTGCCCTTCCCCCCACACCACCCCTTGCACCACCCCCAGGAGCATCCCGAATATTGGCATACGACGAACTCATCTCCACTCCCACCACCTCCTCCTCCTCCTCCATCTTCCCCTCCTTCCCCTCCTCCTCCTCCTCCTCCACCTCCTCCTCCGCCTCCTCCTCCCGCGCGCACCGCTCCTCCTCCCTGTTCTGCCGCCGATTCCGATTAGAAGACTTAAAGCGCGCCACACACCGCTTCGACCTGCGCCGCCGCTTACACAAGGACGGCCATGGGGGCGCCTATGGCTCGGTTTTCCGAGCCGACTCCCGCCTTATCGCCGAACCTGACGCACGGAGGCTCGACGACGGGAGATGGTCGGCAGGGGTTGGGGTGGGGGCGCGGGGGAGAGGAATGGGGGAGAAGGGCGGAGGGGGAGGGGGAGGAGGGGGAGGAGCGGAGTGGGCTGTGAAGCGATACGGGCGGTTTAGCTGGAGGGTGGGGGATCGGGGGAGGAGTTTTGAGGAGGAGGTGGAGGCGTATGCGCGGCATGGGCATGTGCACTTGGTGCCGGTGGTGGGGTACTGCTGTGAGGGCCATGAGCACATGGTGGCGTATCAGATGCTGCCCCATGGGTCGCTACGAGACAACCTGCACGCTCCTTGCGGTGAGTTTGACTTATGAGGATTCAGTATTAGGAATTCTCAAAACATGAGACTCTTCACAGGTGAGCGAAGCACATGACGGTGGGGTACTGCTGTGAGGGCCATGAGCACATGGTGGTGTATCAGATGCTGCCGCATGGGTCGCTACGAGACGACCTGCATGCTCCTTGCGGTGAGATTGCTCTCCTCTCTTGTTGTTGCTAGCATGTGGTAAGCCTGCATCCTCCCTGCACGCCTTCATGCCACTCGCTCGCATCTGCGTGACCCGCCTCCTTACAATCTGTATCCCTCCTTCTGCTTGCCTGCCTGTGTGCGTGCAATCGGCATGTGTGCATGTGTGTCTGCCTGCACGTCTGTCTGTCTGTCTGTCTGTCTGTCTGTCCGTCTGTCTGCCTGTCTGCCTGTCTGCCTGTCTGCCTGTCTGTCTGCCTGTCTGCCTGTCTGCCTGTCTGCCTGTCTGACTGTCTGACTGTCTGCCTGTCTGTCTGTCTGCCTGTCTGCCTGTCTGCCTGTCTGTCTGCCTGTCTGCCTGTCTGCCTGTCTGCCTGTCTGCCTGTCTGCCTGTCTGCCTGTCTGCCTGTCTGCCTGTCTGCCTGTCTGCCTGTCTGCCTGTCTGCCTGTCTGCCTGTCTGCCTGTCTGCCTGTCTGCCTGTCTGCCTGTCTGCCTGTCTGCCTGTCTGCCTGTCTGTCTGCCTGTCTGCCTGTCTGCCTGTCTGCCTGTCTGCCTGTCTGCCTGTCTGCCTGTCTGCCTGTCTGCCTGTCTGCCTGTCTGCCTGTCTGCCTGTCTGCCTGTCTGCCTGTCTGCCTGTCTGCCTGTCTGTCTGCCTGTCTGCCTGTCTGCCTGTCTGACTGTCTGCCTGTCTGCCTGTCTGCCTGTCTGCCTGTCTGACTGTCTGCCTGTCTGCCTGTCTGCCTGTCTGCCTGTCTGCCTGTCTGCCTGTCTGCCTGTCTGCCTGTCTGCCTGTCTGCCTGTCTGCCTGTCTGCCTGTCTGCCTGTCTGCCTGTCTGTCTGCCTGTCTGCCTGTCTGCCTGTCTGCCTGTCTGCCTGTCTGCCTGTCTGCCTGTCTGCCTGTCTGCCTGTCTGCCTGTCTGCCTGTCTGCCTGTCTGCCTGTCTGCCTGTCTGCCTGTCTGCCTGTCTGTCTGCCTGTCTGCCTGTCTGCCTGTCTGACTGTCTGCCTGTCTGCCTGTCTGCCTGTCTGCCTGTCTGACTGTCTGCCTGTCTGCCTGTCTGCCTGTCTGCCTGTCTGCCTGTCTGCCTGTCTGCCTGTCTGCCTGTCTGCCTGTCACACACATGCAGATTCACCCATGTCTATGGAGCAGCGGTTGCGCATAGCAGTGGGTGTGGCGGAGGGACTAGCCTTCATGCACCAGCAGCACCCGCCGCTCATCCACCGCAACCTCAAGCCCTCCAACATCATGCTCACGCCCTCGCTGCAGGTATGCTTGTGCATAATCACACCCTTCTTTTTTTTTGTCTTTGTTTTTTTGTTTTTTTTGTTTTTTTTTTGTTTTTTTTTTGTTGTTTTTTTTTTTTGTTTTTTTGTTTTTGTTTTTTTTTTTGTTTTTTTTTTGTTTTTTGTTTTTTTTTTTTGTTTCCCCCCCCCCCCACCCCCCCCCTTTTCAAAATTCTAAACATGGCTTCATTTTCCTCCCTTTTTTCCCCAGCATTCCCCCATTCCCCCCCTTTCACCTCTTCCCCCCCCCTTTCCCCCACATTCCCCCCCCCTTCTCACCCCAATTTATCCCCTTTCCCACTCCACCAGCCGCAAAACGGCGACTTTTGTTTCGTGCATCACGACGGGGACGGGTGCATCAACGCGGTGCCAGAGGTGGCAGGTAGCTCCCTCCCCCTTTTCACACACTTTCCCCCCTGCCCTCCTCCGCACCCCCCATTCCCCCCTTTTTTCCCACCCTCCCACCAGCCGCAAATCGGCGATTTCTGTTTCGTGCATCACGACGGGGACGGGCGAATCAACGCGGTGCCAGAGGCGGTGCAGCAGGAGGGGTACCGCGACCCTGCTATTGCCGACCTGCACCTGCTACGTTCCTGGTCCTCTGATAATCACCCTCTCCTTCCCTCTTTCCTTCCTCTCTTCCCCCTCTCCACCCCTCTCCTCCCCTCTCCTCTCCCTCCCTTATCCTCTGCATCCTTTGTCCATCCCTCTTCTGCCCCACCCACCAGCCGCAAATTGGCGACTTTTGTTTCGTGCATCACGACGGGGAAGGGCGCATCAATGCAGTGCCAGAAGCAGTGCAGCAGGAGGGGTACCGAGACCCTGCCATTGCCGACCTACACCTGCCCACACAGGCCCTCACTGCTCAGCACACCGACGTGTACAGGTGAGGACGGGGAGAGCACACAATGTGTGAGTGAGTGGGCTTGGAAAGACACACAGGGAGGGGTACCGGGACCCTGCTATTGCCGGCCTGCACCTGCCCTCACAGCCCCTCACTGCTCAGCATACCGACGTGTACAGGTGGGGACGGGGAGAGCTGGGGAGGTGGGAACAGGGGAGGTGGGGAGGCGGGGTATGGAGAGGTGAGGAGTAGGGGAGGTGGGTGGGAGGAGGGGGCATTGCTGGGTTGCCTTCTATCCTTTGCACAAAATGGGTGAGTGTGTGAACTTGGAAAGACACACACACAACACAGGAGGGAGGGGAACCGTGACCCGTTGTTGCGCTCTCGAAAGACCTCTCTCTCTCTCTCTCTCTCTCTCTCTCTCTCTCTCTCTCTCTCTCTCTCTCTCTCTCTCTCTCTCTCTCTCTCTCTCTCTCCCCACCCTCCTGGGGCACAGCTTTGGTTTGGATCGGTTTTTGAGTCGACTCAAAAACCGACTCACCCTCCTGGGGCACAGCTTTGGTTTGGAGTGATCCCTCTTGTGCTGTAAGCCGGCCGAATTTCGAGATCGGCTTCCTCAAATGTCCTTTCCTCTATTTCCCACCCCCCAACTCGCCCACTCCTCAGCTTTGGAGTGATCCTTCTAGAGCTGATGACAGGGCGACTGGCAGTGGTGCCAGACCCAGAGAACCCCTCCGAGCTAATGAGACGCCTCAAGTGTGCTTCCCACTATCCCCACCCCCCCCCACTCGCCCACTCCTCAGCTTTGGAGTGATTCTTCTAGAGCTGATGACAGGGCGACTGGTAGTAGTGCCAGACCCAGAGAACCGGGCGACTTATGAGACGCCTCAAATGTCCTTCCCTCTATCCACCCCCCGCCCACCCCCTGCTCCCCCTCTCCTCAGCTTTGGAGTGATCCTTCTAGAGCTGATGACAGGGCGACTGGCAGTGGTGCCAGACCCAGAGAACCCCTCCGAGCTAATGGTCATCACCGACTGGGTCAGTTTCTTTGCCCTTATCTCTTTTTTTTTTTTGTCGGTCGTTTTTTTTATGATTTTCCAAAGCGACCTACCAGACCCAGAGAACCCCTCCCATCTCTCCTCCCTCTCCCACCACTCACACCCTCTTTCCCTTCTCTCTCCATGCCTTTCTGTCCACCCCTGTCATGCACATCTCCTTCCTCGCGCTCAGAGCTCACATTCACTCCGCTCCCACCTGTGCTTCCACCCATGCTCCTTTCATCAGTATCAGCCCTTCTCATCTCTCTCATATTTCTCCCCCTCTCACCCCTCTCTCATCCCATCGCATCCTCCTGCCCTCACCCATCCATGCCCCCCACTACAGGCGATGCATTACATAGTGGAGGGGGAAGTGCATCTCATCATAGACCCCCCAGTGAGTGCTTTGAGTCAACTCAAAACACATCTTCCCGCCCCACCTTCCCCCACCCCATCCTCCCCCCCACTACAGGCGGTGCATTACATAGTGGAGGGGGAGGTGCACCTCATAATCGACCCCCGAGTGGGTGCTTTGAGTCAACTCAAGAGTCAAGACCCATCTTCCCTCCCCACCTCCCTCCCTCTCTCCTCCCCCAATACCCCTTCCCCCATCTCCCTCCCACCACAGGCGGTGCACTACATAGCAGAGGGGGAGGTGCATCTCATCATAGACCCCCGGGTCTTCTCCCCTGATCTCACCCCCACCTTCCAAACCCTTGGGGAAATCGCCTCTGCCTGCGTCGCCGCCCCAGCTGCCGCCCGGCCGAGCATGGATGACGTGGCAAGGCAGCTTGCTGACGTGTACGCAGAGTATTTTGAAGGAGAGGGGGAGGGAGAGGGGAGTATGGAGGAGGGGGGGATGATTGACGTATCGCACCAACCAGAGGTGTAATGTAAGCAAGCATGCAGGTCTTAGAAGCTGTGAGAAACGATTACTAGGTACTCGTTTTGCAATTAGTGTGGGTGCTCTGCCTTGTACGGTACATGAAGTAGGACTAGGTACGGTAGTAGTGGTGCGTACGTAAATTAGTCCCCCCTGAGAATTGTACCGTAACTTGTACAGGTTTAGCACAGGAGTCAGCTGAATGAGTAGTATGATTGTGTTGGTCCGAGTGAACATATTCAACAGAATGTCCTCTCACCTCTATTGCACACACACACAATATCAACATAGGCACATCCATCCACCCACACATACGGTAGATTGTTAGATATGGGCTGCTGATGCTGATACAGTACAACTGATAATTACGTAATGTGTAAGAGACATTCCACTGTACACCAAACCAGCAGCCTTTGCCACTACCTGACCAATCCTTCACTGGCTACCTAAGGTAGAACCGTACCTAAACAACAAGGAAACTACCAGTACACTAGATACAGCTACCTATACTGCCATTAGCAGGGTTGCTAAGCAGTCTATGCTGACTACGATTGGGTGTAAAGAACAGGGAGTGAGCTAATGAGTGAGCAGGTGAGTGAGCGGGTGAGTGAGTGAGTGAGTGGGTGAGTGAGTGAGTGAGTGAGTGAGTGAGTGAGCGAGTATCACTTCTGCAACTGACTGTAAGAGCCGTTTCAACAGCAGCTGGCTTCCATTCCAGGCAGTAACATGTTGGTAGTAGCATCACAGTGCATTTCCAGTGTCCGTGGGCACTCTAGAGTACTGTAAGTTGCCTGGATAGGATGACGCTCCTGGTTGCTGATGGGATGGGATGGGATGGGATGGGATGGGGATGGGATGGATAGAGGGCAGAAAGATAAGAAAACGACGAGAGAAAGAAAAGAGATAGAAGCAAACAGCAACAGGCTACACTCTTTTCTCTACCTTGTCTCCCTTTTGACTCCTTCACACACACACACACACACACACACACACACACACACACACACACACACACACACACACACACACACACACACACACACACACACACACACACATACACACAGCTGTACTCTCCATTCCCTTTCCCGCCTACCCGTCAGTCACCCCCCTTTAATCCCCAATTCTCGGTCTCATCCCTCGCCCTTCCCTTCCTACACTCGCATACTTCCCGCACTCTCTGCTTTTCCGTCCCAAACCACTCACCTGCAAGCCCGCATTCTTGCCTCCTTAGCCCCTCTCCTCCGCTCTTCGCTCCCTCCCGTCCACCTCCTGCCGCAGCTGCTGCAGCTGCCTGCGTGTTTTGAGTCGCCTCAAAACACGACTGCTTTCCTGTCCAAACCACTCACTCACCTGCAAGCCCGCACTCTCGCCTCCAAAGCCCCTCTCCTCCACTCTTCGCTCCCTCCCGTCCACCTCCTGCCGCAGCTGCTGCAGCTGCCTGCGGCTCCTCTCCTGCTCCTTCTCTGGCCGCCCCCTCCTCTGATTCAACCGCCGCCGTGCTACGTCCTCTGAGAGAATCTCGTCACTCTCATCCTGGGGGGGGAGAGAGAGATAGATAAGAGAAGGAGGGCGCAAAGAGAAGGAGAGCGCGAAGAGGGAAGGGAAGCGCAACATAGGGAGAAGGAAGAGAGAAATCAACCGAAACAAAGGAAAGGGAGGGAGGATGCAAAGATGAAGCGGAGAGAGGGTAGCCAAAAGTGGGGAGGGAGGCGGGGAGGAGCAGGGCGAATCGGGGAGTGCGAGCGACGCCATGCGTGGTCAGCCAAAATGAACGAAACGAGGCAAGCAATGCAGCAAGGCAGCAGGAGAGAGAGACACACGTGGTGCAAGGAGAAGCGTACCTGGTTAAGAGCAAAGGGGTGTCTTCTGGGAATGAAGCGCACTGTCATGGGATCGATTCCATCTGGCACGGGATCTCCCTCCACCAGCACCACCTGCAGGACAGGGAGGAAGAGGAAGCGCGGTGTTTTCAAGGTGCATCAGAGGTGGTTTTGAGGCGACTGAGAAATGTCTTCTGGGAATGAAGCGCACTGTCATGGGATCCTTTCCCTTCCATCTGGCACAGGATCTCCCTCCACCAGCACCACCTGCAGGCGTGGGGAGCGAGGTCGCACGGTGATTCTTAAGGCGCCTCGAAAAAAATATATTGAGGCACCACGGAAATGCCTTCCGGGGAAAGAAGCAAGAGGGAGGGGGAGGGGAAGGGCGGAAATACGACAAACCAGAAACATAGAACAAGGGTTTTCCGCACCTGTGGTTTCTTCCATCCGTGCTCCTTCTGCCGCTGCTGCCTGTGGAACTCCATCTTCTCCTCGGTGAGTGGCGGCAGTGGCTCCATCTGAACCAGCATCGTGTTGCCCACACGATAGTTGAGCACCGATGTGGGGTCCTCATACTGCGATATCACGTTCAGCCTGGGATGGGACGAGTTGGGAAGGTTGAAAGGAGTGGGTTAGGGTTGGGAAGGGTTAGGAAGCGTTGAAAACGGTTCGGAACCAATAAACCGTGTAGATGGGGGGTGGGATGGGAGTTCAAGCCAGGAACTGCAGACAAGCCAGAAAGGTATACCGCATACGAAATGAGTGGAACGATGACAATGAAATCACGTACGGCTCGCTTCTATCTGAAGAAACGAATCCTCTTCTAGCAAGAAAGTCCACGCTCCTCTCCCTCCCTCCTCCCCTCAACCGCTGCACATAGGCCGCTGCAGCAGCAGCTAGCAAGAGCAGCAGCGAGCCCCCCCCTGCTGCGAGTGCCCATGGGGAAACCGAGGCCCGCAAGCCTGTTCGATGGCGTGTGACAGACTGCTTGCCGTAAGATAGGAAGGACGAAAGAAAGGGATGTTTGGAAGATGCAAGGACCGGATGGGGAACCGGGGACAGAAGCGGAGAATGAAGAGACAATTTGAGCTACATAAAAACAAAAATAAAGAACGGACTTTATAAGAAAATTAAACTCTTTCGAGGGCATAAGAATAGCCTTCGGAAGGTAAGACGCTAACACAGGAAAACTATAAAAACTGGAGAAGCAGTTGTGCAGAGCAGAGCAGCGTCACTCACAGGCGCTGCAGCTTGCTCAGCCGTCAATCTCTGTCCCCCTCTGCTTGTCCGGGCCTGTCGCCCGTCCGATGCAATCCCAGCAGACGCTGGTGCGCTTGCCACGCCTTTCCGTGTCTCGCTCAGCCGAACAGAGCCGTGCCTCGCGGATGACTGGCTGCTAACTACCACGTCAACATACACCCCTTCCCGCGTTCCCCGCTCTTGCTGCCGATGCTGTTGCTGCTGCTGCTGGTGCTGCTGGTGCGGTTGGGTGCTTCTAACGGGTTCCGTCCGGCGAGAGGTCCGGCGGAAACCCGCGCGAGCGGAGACCGGGGGGAGGGGTGCGTGGCGCGGAACGGCATGATGCTCGATCTTGCTGTGTGCGGAGGATAGGACGTGATTGGGAGACGGCAGCGATGATGATGACGATGATGATGATGATGAGAGCGGTAGGAAAGGGGACGACATGAGGCCAGTGGTGGTGGAGCGAGAGCGGAGAAACGTCGACGGTTGGATGTGCATGATGGAGGAATATCTGGCGGAGGAAGATGACGATCTGACGGCCCACGATGTGCACGTGCTGCTCATGATGCTGCCTGCGACTGGTGATGCTGCCTGCGACTGGAGGTGCTGTCTGCGACTGGAGGTGCTGCCTGGTGATGCTGCCTGCGACTGGTAATTCTGCCTGCGACCGATGCTGCCTGCGACTGGTGATGTGGCTGCCTGCGACCGGTGATATTGCCGGTGTTGGTGACGTTGTCTGCGATGCCGTTAACAGTATACAATAAAGGTGTGAAATATGAGACCTAGTAGAGGTGATATGAGGAGATTAGGACGTGAAGCTGATATTAACAGTGTTAAGTATCATGTCAGTCGTTCGGTGGTGAAGAGAAACAGACACTGGCAAAAACGCCATCGGCGGAGCAACAACAGGGTAATACGTGAACCTTAACAACCACAACGGTACGAATGATGCTAGTGGCGAAGTACGATCGGTGATCTAACGTTGACCGTTTCGAAGCGCTTTTTCTGTTTGGAGTATGTGAGTTAACTTAAAGCCCAAGACCCGAATTACAGGAAACGAGGGCAAACTGTGCACAGTTTGCCTCCCGCAGCCCACAGTTTTGCCCCGCGTTGACTTGCGTTGAGCAATTCAGGTCTTGGGCTTTAAGTGACAAGCAAGCAGCCAGTCCACTAATAAACTTCTAAACCTAGAAATTAGTCCTAGACTGCTGTGAGTGAAGCTGACGAGACGAGGTGTGCAGTATACCTAGGTTATACTTTCCGCCTGCGCTTGCATTGCAACATCGTTCGTCAAAGCTGCGAAACACACCTGTAACAGGGCATTCCCTAAAAACAACCCAAGCAATCAAGAATACCGTAGACATTCTTTAGATTGATGGTGTACACCCAATTCTATACTAATCGTAAACAATGCCTCCCTCGGGGTTCAGTGACTGTTATGAGTTGTAAAAGAGAGTGCGCAGGTAAACGAATAACGAGACTGTGATTGAATGAACTGCGAATACAATGAAGGAACACACTAATGTAGGAGCTAGCCTAGCTAGGAGGAAACCTCGGACGAGCGAGGTTGGGTTGCAGGTTTGGCGATGGGAAATGCCGAAGGCGACGCAAGGAGCCTCGGCAGCGTTGAAATCGGCCGAACGTGCAAAGTCCGAAAATCGGGCTGTACGCGTAGCAGTCAACCCCGATAAGGAATTCGGGAAAATTCCTTACACTACCCCCCCCCTTAAGAAAGGCGGTCGATATCCGAAACACCCCTGCGCGCCAAGTAATCCCGAACAAGTGACGAGGCGTCGAGTGAGTCAGAATGCACCCAGGTGTCATCTTCACTGGTGCGGTCAGTCCAACGGATGAGGAAGTCCACGTGGCGACCAGCTGCGTCAAGGCGAACTCTGTGGGCCAAAATCTTTGATGGTGCAAGAGTCGGCTCCGGGACAGGTCGTG